TGTAAACTGATATATATATATATATAGAGAGAGAGAGAGAGATATATATATATATGTATATATATATATGTATATATATATATATATTCATTTCCTCGAGAAAGCAGCAGTCACCTGCACAATCCTGCACAGTCACTCACGGAAGTCAGGTGCTACTGGAGGAAGTAAGGCACATTCATGGTAAATGCCATGCATTTGACAGCTCGGCAAGGCAATGTAGAAAAGGCTGCTTGGTTCGCTAGTTTTCGCACGGAAAGTGACGTGCTCTTCGACACGAGCACCAACAAGCAGACCCGGTTGGGAAGGCGACTTCTCACGGCAGCTGTAGGTAAACCAAATTTGCCGGCACAATCACGAAGGACACGCTGCGGAGGAGTTGTAGGTGGTCATACGACAGAGCTTTGACCTAGTGGTCTCTCAATTTAGCAGCTGACTCCCACGGGGGTGCGCCTTTTTGCCAGTGCCATCTTTGTGCGCTGCATGCGCTGAAAACCGTTGCCTTAATAGTTTTGAGGCCTGTCCCAAGGTTCTGGAGCTGTTGCTGATTTCGTCACGGAGTGCCTGCAGGGATGTGTACCTCTTTGGGATTTGCTTCACACATCCATCACATCAGCCAGTTGAAGTTGTTGCAGGCTCTGTTTTTGCGTGGCTGCTGTGCCAGGCTGATCCTGGAATCCACATCCGCCGCCCATGTGAATGAATTCGCAGAGCATCTTCCACTTGGTTTGGACACCCCTGCAGGAGAGCGAGGTCAAGCGTTGAGTGGGGGTCAGAAGCAGCGGGTTTGCATCGCCCGTGCACTGGCACGCAAGCCGAGAATGCTGGTCTTCGACGAGGCAACATCAGCGTTGGACCTGCGCTCCGAGCGTCTGGTGCACAAAGCCCTAAAAGAAGTTCTATCTGCGGGAGACTGCACCTGCCTGGTCATTACGCACCGGAATCTTGACAGCGCTTTTGAGTTGGCCGTTTTGGCATTTCCTAAGAGTCCTTTTGTTGCTGATATGTCGGACTGAATTGGCAATCATACAGATCGCGCAGGATGAGTGCCCTGGAGTGGTGTGATCGCGTGGCCGTGGTGAGCCGCCATGAACAGAAAGTTGGCTTAGGCTTTCTTTCGGAGGCTTAGGCATCTTAGGCTTAGCGCTTCGGGATTGGAGGGAAGCAGGAAAAGCGTCTCTAGAGTAGGCGGTCGGAGCCTGCCAGGTGCACGAAGGAAGTGTTGTTCAATACGGAGCCTCAGCTGAGCGAGGTGTGTGCCGTGTCCATGAAACTGGATGCAAGTTCTTCATCTCAGCGGTGGCCAAGGTGAGAAGAATGAAGTGCTGAAGAATCCATGCGCTGCCTTGCAGAGCATTCTGAGAAATGATGACCATCTTCCTGTCCAAGAGACCTGAACATCGACTGCTTAGATGCGAAGCACCTCTTGTGTTTTATGACACGATGAAGCCAGAGCTGCCATTCACATCTGCAGTAGGGTCTCTCCAAGTCCACTATCTCTCAAAGCTTCTTCAGCTCTCATGCTGCAGTAGAACTGCACTTCAAGCAGAGCTGCCATTTAGCAGGGGCTTTCAATGCAGACTGTTGTGGGCCTGTAGGAAAGTCTTCTGCCGAGTTCGAGCCGTGTTTGGCAAAGAGGATGCACCAAGCGTCCATTACAGATTTTCACGCTGAGCGTCACCTCTCAAAACAGCTTGGAAAGTCCCCAATTTTTGTTCCTGCAGTCCGGTTGCGCATGATGGGACGAATTCTTAAAACAGCGTTGCTTTTGTGTGTTTCTTCTTTCGCTTGTCCTACTCGAAGAGTCTTGAAGGTGCGAACACACTTCGGAAACCCTGTGGCAGCTTCCTCCCTTGGTGCAGCGCCGCAAGATGTATCATTTCGCTTTTGATTTACGGAAACAGATTCTTGCATCATGCATGCACGGATCAGGCTAGCGCTTCCTCTGCACCTGTGCCTTCAGCGTCCGAATGCTGCAGCGCGGAGGATCAGCTCAAGCATTTGCTTCAGGCCCTCTCCTTAACAGGTGCTGGGCGTTTCGCAGCATGGACTGCAACCCTAAGCCTAGCCAAGGCTGAGTGGGCGCGACTTCAGGGTCGAGAAGAGTCGATCCGCCGGGATGCCCTCTCAACTCATCTCAACTCCAGAAAATGCAGATATATGCAGATTGGAGGGTCAACAGACGCCAACAGGCCCGTGGGACAGTTTTGCGAGCGTCCAAACTACCGCTGAACATGCTCAAGCCCTTGACCCTGCAAGTGCCTTCCATCTTGATACTTGATGATACTTGATTTTGCAGACCCAAAATTCTGACAAAGTCTCAGCTCCAAGCATCAGGCAACGCAGCGTAGATTCCGACATATGCAAGTATTCTGTCGTTCCATAAGGTACAAGTTCTTTATTCATCGCCATGGCGACTCGTCCACTGCAAGTGGCCGTGCGCATCCGCCCTCCGCAACCACACGATGGGAAAGCGGGCGCACCTGCAGCTGAGGCAACAGACGGCTTGACTCTGCAAGCTAAGGAAGGCTCAGACTCGAAGCAGTTTGCATTCGACAAGGTCTTTGGACCCGCTGCTTGATTGCGAACATGGCTGTCTGTTGTGATCTTTGGGAGCATGTAGGGATGCACAACTTGGTTTGCAGCCGAGGAGGCCACTCAGCATGAGGTGAAGGGCTCAGTGGTGGAGCTTGGCTCGAGCGTCTCTTGAATCGCTGAATTGCTGCGTAGCAAGTGGCCAAGATAGGAAAGCCCTGCAACACAACGTGAGGTGTACTCGTTCTGTGCCCTGCCGCTTGTGGATGCTGTCATCAATGGGACGAACGCTTGCATTTTTGCATTTGGGTGCACTGGTGCGGGCAAAACGCATTCCATGCTTGGGCCAGAGGGTGGACGCAAGCAAGCAAAGCAGGATGGAATTCTTCCAAGGGCGGCAGCTGAGCTTTTCAGGCGCATCGCACGACTTGAGGCAGAGGCCAAAGCTGCAATCGGATCCGGCGGGTTTTCTGCATATGAAGTGCGGGTGTCCTTCTTAGAAGTCTATTGCGAGAATGCCTTTGATTTGCTGAGCGGACCTGTGTCTGCCTCCAGAGATGCCTCCGGCTCATGCCAGCTCCGGGAGACAACGGATGGGCGAGTTTACGCCGATGGGGCCAAGGAGGAGAAGATTCGGTCCTGTGAGCAGCTGCTGGATGTTGTCGCTCAGGGTGCCAAAGCTCGCGCGACGGCAGCAACCGGAGTCCACGCACATTCATCGAGGTCTCATGCCCTGCTTATCATGTCCGTTGAGCATCGCTGGCGGGACGTTTCAGAAACCGATCCGCAAAAGCACTCATGGCACATGATGTTGGAAACATGTTTAGCAGGTTTTTTTTGGCGAAGGTGTGTAGGGGAGTTCACTGCTCTCTTCCTGCGCCTGTTTGAGACATGAGCTCCCTTCGCCGCTCAGGTATCGCTCGCAGACAGCACGCTTCACTTTGGTGGACCTTGCCGGTGCCGAATCGATGGAACGTTCCCATGGCGGGAGCGTGGATGCTGCCGGCGTTGGCACGAACATGGGCTTGCTTGTGTTGGGCCGAGTTATCCGAGCTCTTGCTGAAGGCTCAGAACGAGTGCCCTACAGAGATTCGACCCTGACACGACTAATGCAGAGCAGTTTGGGTGGCAAAGCGGAGACCCAGATGCTAGCATGCATAAGCCCAGCAGAGATCGAAGCGGCGCTCACAATGCAAACCCTGAAGTACGCAACCAGTGCTCGGAGCGTGGTTCTAAAGCCGGAAGCTGCCACTGTTACGACAGAGCTTGAAACTGATCCAATGCTGACAGATATTGAAGATGATGACATCTCTCTGAACCGTCGTTGTATTTGGATCGAGACGGCTGACTTCGGCGATGTATTCGCGCGCTGCGTTGGAGACCCAGCAGACCCCCTGATTCTCTATGTTCACGGGTCGGGGCCATGCAACAGCTCAAACTTCTGGAGTAAGCTTGTGATCGATGTTGCAACTCTGGCCGGTGCAGGCAAGATCTCTTCAGCTTAGTGGCACGTGCGAGACACCATTTTAGCCAAAATGCACACTTCCCTGGCAAAGGCTTCAGGGGTCACGATCTTTGGGACCTTAGTCCTCAGATTCGAAGCATCGTCCATGGTAGTAGTTGCTGTCTTTACCAAATGGTTTAGACGGACATGCGCGCATGCTAACGGATGCTGTGCAAATCGCAGGCACGGCCGACTGCCCGAGAAGCTACTTCCATGTCGCCATTGACTGTCCTGGCTACGGGCGCTCGCCGGGTGATCGGCAAAGCATTCGATCGTATCCAGGATCACTCATCTCCAATATTGTTCGAGCATTGGGCCGCAAGACGGTGGCCTGTCTCGTCGGATCAAGCCAAGGAGCATGTGCTGCTTTGAATTGTGCGCTGGAATGTCCCAAACTGATGCATACTATTGTTGTTTGCCACCCTGTCGGGCACGCTCCGCATCGGTACGGAGCTATTGCTCAACCATCCCTTCTGATTTTCGATACAGAGGATGACGGGCACCCCGTGAGTGTTGGCCGGCAAATGCGGCGTCACCTCCCAAACCCGCGTTACTTTGAGTTTACACGGTCAAAAGATGGAGATTGGGAGTGCCATCACATGGGAGAGGAAATGATTTCAATGCTGCAGGAGAGCTACCAAAGCTGGAAGAATAAAAGGCTTGGTGGGCGCAGAGACAAGGATCTTCCAGACTTGACGCGTGTTGCAGGCGGCTTCAACAGCTGGAACAGCAGACATGGTGTCGAGTTTGAGCCTTGGGGTGGCTACGATGCCGAGGATGAGCCAGTTGAGGCCAAGACAGATGTCAGTGAAAACAGCTGGCGAGCCAGGCTTGATCCCAGTACCAACACGATTGTCTACGAGAACCTTCTTTCTGGCAGGATATCCCGTGTGCGTCCGCCTGGTGCACAAGTTGTGGTAGAGCGCCTGGGCAAATCTTCTGAGAAGAAGGCTGCCACTGAAGCTCCGGACACGCTTCCTGAAGCCCGGGCTGATAAGGAAGATCCACCAGTCAGAACCGATGTCGGCCGGGCACTACTCCCTCTCTTCGAAGGAGCGGACGAAAACGATGATGAAGACGATGAGGAGCGGCAAGCACGTGAAGAGAAAGAAGCAGCTGCGATGCTTAAAATGGAGGCCTCTCAAAGTCATTGTGACCTTTGTCGCAAACTGCTGGTGCAGCCCATCCGCTTGCAAGCTTGTCGCTGCGCGCTGTGCGGATGCTGCGCTGAGATTACAGTCCGGTACATGCGAGAGTGCCCAGCATGCGGCTTGCCTGTGGACGTGAAGGGTGGCAAGCCGGTGTCAGATGTGTCACCAGGTCTTCTGGCCAAAGTGGAGGCACTGACCTCCACTGGAGGCCCTGAGATGGAAGATCAGCAGCAATTGCTGCAGCAGCTGACGGACCTCCGACAGAGTGCACAGCGTATACTTCTCCAGTACGGCAATACGTCCAGCGGGCGTGGAAGCAAGCGTTCGTACACCACTTTTCTGAAGGTTGCTTCGGTGGACGGCAGTGTGCCGAAGGAGGGCTGTGTAGCAAAAGTCGATTTCAACATAAATCCTGGCTATAGCAAACCGACATCAACGGCCAAAGAGCCGAGCGACAAGTCCCTGGGCTTTACTTTCGAGTATGCCATGGCGCGGGCTTACCCGTGCCATATGACGGTACACTTCAAGAGCGACCTTGGCTTGCCAAAGCTCGTCATCGAGCACTACGTCAGTGATGAGGCGAAGATAAGCAGACGAGTGCTTGTCCAGTCTCTCGGCCAATTGGCCTCACCTTGCTTCAATGGTATTGTCTCGTGTTTGTGTGCATCTATCAGCAACACGCATTTTGAGGAGATGCCTCTCCGATTTGAAATTAGCTTGGCACCTTGAGGCTTCCCCATCCACGCCTGCCTCCAGCGGGTGCTCCGAGAATAACAGAGAAGGAGGTCGTCTTTGATGCTGATACTTGCCTTTGCCTTCGCATCACAGCATGCATGCGAAACAGCCTTGCAGGCCGCATGTTTTCTAGTATGATGTTCACGAGCAAGAGGCAGCAAGTTGAACTGCACTATTCAGACGAAGTAGATCACGGCAAAGGGGCTCTTTGAGTGAGTTGCAAAGTTTGCAAAGCGCCAGAGCAAGGATCCTCCGCAGAACGCTTGGCTGTGCTTCCAAGCTGGACGAAGAATCTTGTCTATTGAAGTTTTTTTTGGGCCACTTACGTGTCTTTAGGTCGATAACCTGTCAATCGCGGCTGAGCTTTTCATTGGCTGAGGTGTTCTGAACACGTCGCCCCAGAATTTCCTCGGTACCGTGACGGGCGTAGCGGTCCTGTTCTCAGGCATCTCGAGCTTTGTTCGGCCATCTCGACTGGTTCAGTCCAGGTGCCAGAGGGTGCCGCGGTGCGTTCCCGAAGTCGGACGTCCAGCAAGGCTAGCGGAGGTTCTGGCAGAGGCAAGGGCTGAGCTATTCAAAGAGCTTCAGAAGATTTTGGGCCATGACGTGTGCAATTCGCGGGTTGGTTGTACAGTACCAGCGCAGCGCGGTAACAACTGATTCTTCTGGCAAGCCCTCCATGCCAGAAGGATCTTTCATGTCAGCACGCAAGGCGTGAGCTGAGCATGGGTGCTCCTCACGATGTGAAATGCCGAATGCCGTCGTGAGTCTGCCAAGCAGACTCTGAGCCGGAGGCATGCTGCATGCAGAGAGCTCATGGCTTCATGTCAGCGTCTGTCGTTAAAAGCGTCCCGGCCGCCTCGGTGAGTCTTTGCATGCGTGTGGTTCAACTGTCAGATTGTTGCGCACATATCTGTTCGTCGGTTCATACCGTGCTGTAGGTGTCTCGGCTGTTTCCTTCACAGCTTCTTTGCCCCTCCCTCCTCCCAATGCCGCCTTCATGCCCGTTTGCCAGATTCCCCTATGCGGTCCTTGACCTCCCAGGAAGGTCCGATGCATTCGAGCCAGTGTTATGACGGTAATGTGCCATAGCCAGCTAATCACTGCTCCATTGGTTTGGCGAAAATGTGTCGAAGCCAGCTGATCGCTCTTTGGAAGCAGCATGCCGGGAGAGCGGTTGCAGTGCTCCGAAACATCTCGAGCAGTCTTTAAACTGGGGTAGAATGTACCACTGCAGTGGTTTGTGACGGGGGCGGGGACGTGGCACCCGGGGGGATCCTTGGCCTCAATAACAAGGGGGGCGAGCACCTGCTGAGGGTTTGCAACTTAACGTGTGTCGCACCACCCGTTCCATCAGCATTTTTCGGTGTCGTTCCCTGAAAAAGGATTGGAGGAACACGACATGACGTTTGCAGGGGCATAGCTCTTTCGTTGTTTTGTCTTTCACCAGGCTCAGGAAGGCAGGGTCCGCCCGCTGGTGGTGTGACCCCTGTTTGTTCATGAAATTACCTGGTGGAAAACATAGTGGCCCACAAGACAAAACAATGAGACAGAGAGAGAGAGAGAGAGCTAGACCCGACACAAATGGGCAAGAAAGCAGAAAGCTACTTGTTGTGTACGTAGCAAACTGCTCCAGGATTGCACAGGCACCACCAGTGGAGTTATGTTGCCCTCACATTCGGGGCGCAAGCAAGTTCATTTAGTTAGTTTCATGCACGGACGGCACTTGTTTACGAGCAGCATGGTCATGATGATATAGGCAGCTGATGTAGTCTTTTTTGCAATCAGCCTTCATAAGATTCTGCAGGGTTGGGCGAATCCACCTGCCGCAATGGAGATGCCGAGACGAGCCATGATTGGTCGTCGCGCTGAAAGCTGGCTGCACCGGCTGCATGCAACGCATTCGCGACTGGTCACGTTTCCGACTGTGGCATGACGACGTGTTTGCGCAAGCTGCGGTTTGGCAACTGCTTGCTGAAGCTTGTGGTACGGAATGCGGCAACAACATCAGCTGTGCCTAGTTTGAGAAGCTCTCTTCCACGAGCGGGCAGCCAGGATGCTGGTCTGTGGGACGTTCTGGAATACAACTCCCACTACTTCAATGCACATCGCATGGCACCACTTCTGGAACAGGTTTTGGAGCAGCCACGCCTGACACTCAAAACAACAGATCCTTGACAAGTGTTGTCACTCGGAACACGAAATATTCAGGCAGCGAGGCCCGCGGTGATGCAAGGCTCCACGCGTATTTGCAGAAGGCCAGGCGCCAGGTTTCACTTCTGCTGTCATGGTCCGTCCGGTGCCATTGGCCCTGTCAAGGCGATAGCGTCATGCCAGCTGTATTACAACTTGCAGGTTATCACCTGCAAGGCGCTCTACATTGAGGGAATGATAGAATCAGAGTTCCATCACTAGAAGCAGTAGCGTGAAGATGGAACTACCCTTCAGAGCAGGCCACGGCCATGAAAATTCCAGAACTCCCAAAGTAAAACAGAGTGGCCCAATTCTCTCCCATGCAGTGTTAAGCTCCGATGTTCTGAAACGCTTAGTACAACTCCTCGACAGATGGAGATGCATTCGTAGATGCACGGCGACTCAAGCGGCTTGCGCTTAGAAACCAGGATCTCGTGAGAGCAGTAATTCTATTTGACAGGAGACGGCTGCTGCCATCACGTTCTGCAGACAGGCATCGCCTATCGAGCTTTGAAGGGCGGCTGGCGCATTAGTTCAGAAGTAGTGTCTCATAGATAGGAAGGAGTCCTTCATGTTGGGCAGAGCAGGGGTTCATCGGTTCATCGTCTTTTTATGTGGCATGTCACTGTGGATCCAGGTGGGACACCCTGCGGCAGAGGAGCTGTCGGACGTGATAGTGGCGACTGTCTCCGAAGAGCTTGCGAGGTGCGCAGTGAAGGAGACATTGCAGTCGTTTCCAGTCGCCTGATATGAATGTCGAATGCAGGCAGGAGGGTCAGTAAGTTAGGAATTTGTGTAGGCATTGTTTCTCTGCCTGAGTCCTTCGAATTTCGTTTGGTCCATGCTTGCGCAGCTTGCGACCTCCAGATATCTCCCGATGCTTGCTTGCCTGGCAGCACTGTCAGGCTGGATATGCGACGTGTGTCCTTCTACATTACCGCTTTTGCCAAGTACAACATAGAGGAGTTGGAATCTCTGACATCGGCAGCTTGACCTCTTGCTGTAAGCAGGACAGTCGGTTCTGGAAGTCCGCAGCGCGTGTCGTTGCAAACACCTCGGAACCGATGTCTTCACAGGCTCGTGTAGCATGGATACGTGAGCATGGGCAGTGGCTGGCGCTTCATAGGTGCTGGTCAGCTTGATGGACGCATTCCGCAAGAGCGGAGTAAAGCAGGAGAGACCCTACCAGGCATGGAAGTCATGTAGACAAAGCTTTGGAGCCTACGTGTCCTCTGCTAGCATGTCCGTAGTGTCTTCTCGCCAGCAAGCTCTGCTGCTGTAGACAACTTGCACGGAAACTTAGAAGCACATTAACGCAACAAGCAAACAACTTCCAGCAGGCGTTCATCAAACAGCAAGGCAAGGTCATTTTCAGAACGAATCACCCGCCTAGAGTCTTAGAGCCTTCAAGTGCACGGAGTAGCTGCCGATATGGAGGGACGCGGCTCTTCAAACGATGGGAGCAGCTCAGAAGACTTCAAGGCTGGAGCAGAAGCTGCAGAAGTTTGTAATTACTTAGAGCCTGATGGCAAGTTGCCGGCCACAGGATGAGACCGAAAGCCTGGAAGAACCTCCTTGTGGCAGTTTGGTGGTTTTGGTTGGTCTCCGGCAAGTCGAGTTGAATGGCCTTGTCGGAACGGTGGAGGAAGGCGGCCCAGAAGGCAGAGTCGCAGTGCGACTCGGTTCTGGCAAAAGTCTGGCCGTGCCCTGGCCATGTGATGAAATCATGTGCCACGTGCCATCACCTACCAGAAGCATGTCGGTTGACAACGGTGCCGAGGTGCGCCCTGGCAACCTGCGGCTAGCCGAAGTCGACGCCTTCGACGCTGATCTCGACGCAGACGACTCGCCTGTTGCGCCTTCGGAGGATGCGGGCTTGCGTGCAAGGAAGACAGGTGCAACCTCACTCAGCGGCGCCTAGGGTAGACGTCGTCGACTTCAACCCCCGAGTCAACCACATCTGCTTTTTGTCATAAGCTTGCGCAGTGCTTCGCTGTGGGAGTTGGAAGCCATAGGTCTGTCAGCAAGGTGATGCATGATAGGGCAAAGGTGTTGCAAACTAAACTGCCATGCCACCCCTTCACCTTCAGCACCTGCAGGTGGCTGCCATTGTGCACGATCGTCGTTCGATCCGCTGAACCAGTACGAGAGCAGATCGGCTTCTGAGGCCACCTTCGAAGAGCAGTATGCTCGGGCCAACAAAGACTTGGACGAGGAGCCAGCCAATCTGCAGCAAAGAAAGACCTGGCTAAGTTTGATATTCCTTGTTTTGATTGTTGGCCCAGCAATGGCAACTTTTTTCATAACTGCAAAAGATTGGGCAGACCCACTGGTCCGCGTCGTGCCAGCTGGAGACTCCAAGCAAGTGCAGGACATCTTCTTTGGGGGCAATGCTTGGTTAGTATCCTGCGTTACATCGAAAACAGCAGCTACTAAACCTCCTTCAGTTTTACAGGCCGCTGCCGAGTTGCTGCGGCCCCGAGGCGTGCGTGTGGCGCGTGTTCACTGCTGGGAGCCCTTGGAGACCAAGAAAGGTCTTCGAAGCCTGGCACAGAGGTTTGGGTTTCGCGAGAAGCCACCCGTGGTAATGGCCACCAGGGGCCAAGGCTCTCCAACTCTCTTAGCAGCTACGGGACGAGCAGAAGCATTGGCCGCCAAAGTCCTGGCAGCTGTTATACCAGAGGAGTCTGCCACTGTCAAGGCTTACACGGTTCGTGAGGGGTCGCCGCTTGTTCGCAGCAAGGGCAGAGCTGGATGCAGGGGGTGCTTACAGCATTCAGAATTACAATGGAAGGAGCATGCTTGTGTGCACCCAGTCTGTGAGAGATTAAGAGGATAAGAGCAGGTGTGTAGATGTGCATTCGAGAGGGACTGCGAACGCTGAAGCCTGCCGTCAAGCCGGCGCACCGCGATAAATAGTTGCGCTGCCGGGCTGTCCAGCTGCTCTCGATTGTCGAAGTTTGCAGAGGATGCCGCGTGCCAGAATGTGACAAAGACTTGATTCTCACAAAAGGCATTCATGCCACGCCGTGACGGCATCGAACACAGGGGAGGAAAGGAGCATACACTATGGGGCCGGGCAGAAAGGGTTCTGGGCATGGAGGACTCTATCCATTTCATAGTGCAGATGTAGCGGGGCTGGTCTTGTGCATGAGGAAAGCAATAGTCCGCACCATTCTTCACGTAACAGACTTGGGCATACCAGAGGTATTATAGAGAACATCCCGTTATTCTCTGAATGCAATTGTACTGGTAGATCCAGCCTCAGCGTCAGAGCATGACAGTTATGGGAAACTCGTAGTAGGTTTTGAGTGACAGGTTCTGTGATAGTCGCCGCGAAAGAGGGACCCTCGAACCTCCAGACTCAACTCCAAACCCTAAACTACAACACTACCACCACCACCTCCACCACTACGACAACTACTACCACCGCCACCATCACCACTACCACTACTACCACTGCCTCTGGCACTACCACTACCACAACCTCTGCCGGTGCCGCACCATACTACTATTACTACTACGACGACGAGTACTAGTTTAGTACTAGGTAGTGGTAGTAAGTAGTCGTTAGTAGCAGTAGCAGTAGCAGT